GGAGTAGAGGGGGCAGCGCCGCGGCGCCCCCTGGCGGAGAGAGCGGGTCGTGCAGGGCCTTGGGGAGGGGGGGACATATGGGGGGACATCGGGAGACATAGAAAAGGGACACGGAAGATCAAGGTGGGGACACACAGGGGGTTCCACCACGGCCCCAATGCTGCCCACACCAAGGGGGCCTCAGCAGTGCCTCCCACCCCGCCATCGCCTGGGGTCAGTCAGAGCCCCCTGCCCTCGGGGAAGGTTTGTTCCCCACTGGGGAAGGGGCAGTTTGCACTCACACACTATTGTCTTGCACTGGGATAATTAACCTAACACTCAAAGCTCGTTAAGGAGCTGCAAGTCAGGAAGGCACAAAGCTTCACCCCTTCCCATGCTGGGCACATTTCCATCGCCTCCAGGACTGGCTGTTGCTCTGGGTCCTCAGATCCATCCCTTCTCCTGCGTGGGAGTAGCCTGGGATGATGCTCTGAGGCAGCACAGTGCAATCCTGAGGCTCTCGTGACGTGGCCACACAGAGGGGACAGCCTTGCTCCTGTACCCCAGCCTTTGAGACACCTCCAACCACACTTACCCAGCTTTTTCCCCCCACAGGGCATAACCTTCAGATGCCACAGCTCAGGAAATGGGATATAAGCTCAGTTGGGAATGACATAAAAGCTTTGGGTTGGAATAAAACAGAGGGGAAGTGATGGCTGCGAGGTCTGGCTGCCATGGAGGAAGAAAGGAGAGAACAAGGACTTGTGCTGGGATCTCACTTTATTGCAAGGAAAATACAAAAGTTGGAGAGCAGTATTCAAGGGACCACAGCAGCCCCTACATCTTGGGAAACAAGGAAGGACATTCTATAGAGGCTTCCCAACCCAGTTTTCAGATGATCTCACATTCCAGAATCCTTCAGCAGCTCAGAACAGTAACAGCATCTCTTTCACGGGCCCAGCCCTGCTCCTCCAGCCTCACCTGTGCCAGCTATTCTCCATCCCCAAACCTTGTTACCCTCAGGCTGCAGAACCTGCTGCTGTTCCTACTTTGGGCTTTTCTTCAGCTGCAACAGCTTCTATGTTTGTATCTGCAGCCCTGGTGCAAGAATAAGGGCTTTGAAGTAACTCTGGCGCAATAAAGTATCCAAATTCCTAAAAAGGGGGTTTTTTGCATGACAGACAATGCCCTTCAGGCATTACAGATGTTTCAGCTGCCAGTAAATTCCTTAAACTGACCCCCTACACCCATGAACTTCAACAGGGCAGGGAGCAAAGCCGATGTAAAACCATAGTGTGGGCTGCAGTAGCCTGTTCCTCCTGTGTGATCACACTGGAGTGGTTCAGCCTTGAGAAGACAAAGGTGTGCTAATCATCCTTCAGTGCAACCCTGTGTCTGCTAAAAGACAAGAGATGGTCCTGAACTTCCAGGTATAAAAACCTGTGACCAAGAATGCAAGACACAGCCCCAAAGAGGTGGATGGCAGCTCTATAAATGCAGTACTAGAACCATGAGTGCAGCTGGTTCTCTGGTGTCCATCCCAGCTTCCACAAGGCCAGGTGCAGTAGAGGGTCTGAAGATTTATTTTCAGTTTGGGTCATTCTCTCAAAGAATAATATATTCCACTTCAGCCCACTGTATTAATTCCATCATCCTCTGTTTCTGGACAAGATACCCACAGGGGAACACAGGGATCTGTTTCTCCACATGATCAGAGAGTTCAGGGGCTCTCAAAACACTCAGCTCTTCACCTCCACCCTGAGCTTCAAGCGGACGTCACACAGGAAAGCGTTCATCAGGTCCTGCCCAGCCTCCTGAGCAATCTTGCTGATGACTTTACCTCCTCTTCCAATCAACATCCTCTGCATTAAAACCCAGAGAGGACATCATCAGACCCATCCTTACATCGCCCAGCTGCAGGGAGGAATCGCCCCAGGGGGACAGGGCAGCCACAGAAGCAATGGAAGGGATGTAGCAGCGAGGGAAATTCCAAGATCAAACCATGGGCTACTCCAGGGATGTGTAAGCTGCTATTGAACAGCCTGTGTCAGGCATGTGGCTCTTCCCAAAGGAGGGGGAGAGGGGAACCACACCAAGGATGCACATATGCTTGGGATAAGGGAACCTCCCTTCACCCTCCCCAGCACCCCAAGTCTCTTCCATCACTCACCATATGAGACTTCCTTGGGACCAAGAGGTTCTGCGCGATGAGGAGCTCCCCACATTCTCCTTCCTCCCACATCTCTGTCACCTGCAACAGCAAGAGTTCACTTAGCATTCCTGGAAAACCCTCAGGAACCACAGAGATCCTCGGAGATCCCAGCACACAAGGGTGGCCCCCTCAAGAACGCAGAGGGCCTCACAGCACCTGAAGTGCGAGTACCGGGTCACCCCAGATTCCACAGATCCAAATGAAGGGATTCTCATCACACAGTCCAATGTTTCTAGTTAAACACCTCGTGGGCAGATCTACCTGTGCTCAACTTCCCACCTGAGTCACGCCATAGGGCACCTCCAAGGGCAGGTACTCCAGGACCTTCTCCCTGATGATGTTGTCACAGACCTCCTGAGGTGACTGGCTGGTCAGGACGTCGCTGTGGAACTCCCAGGGGCCTGGCTTGGCTTGCATCAGGAGGTATTGCTGTGGGCACAACACACACACTCCCATCAGCTGACAGGTACGACCTGCACAGTGCCAACACCCCATGCTCGTTCTGCAGTGAGGGCACTGCTGCTGGCCTGGCACCAGGGCAGCAGTTTGGCATTTTTGGCAGGGAAAGGAGAAAGGGAAGCTCTGAAACTCCTGCTCTGCCAAAGGGTTCCTCCCTAGAGTCATCTGTGTGAGTTACACAAGTTGTCTGTGAGTTACAGCACCCCTGGAGCTGAAAGAATGAATGGTGGGTGGTCACTGTTCTGAGCAAGCTGCTTCTTGGAGAGCCCCAAATAAGAGTTTTGTACAGAAAACTCTGGAAATGCAATACAGACATATCCCCACATTGGCACACAACACTCTCCCCCTATCCCAGGCCAGGAGCAGCAGCTCTGCTACTTCCTCAAAGGAGCTTGAGCTCAGTGTGAAGTGCTGGGGTCCCACAGCAGTCTCAGGGTGTGATACAAGCTCAGAGTTACCTTGAGTGTATCCACCTCCTCCCCACGGCGAGCTGCCAGCATGAAGATCTCCTGGAATTTTGGCCAGCCTTTCATATCTTTTAGATCCTTGTGTCTATACTTCTTTGGCCCTTGGGCTTCCTCTGTGACAGGGTTGGATTTGGCATCCCTTTCCTGCCAACAGGGAGACCCTGGGGCCCTGTTCCCAGCAGGAGAAGCCTGAGTGATTTGAAGAGGAGGCTTGGCTGAAGAACTGGAATCACTTTTAAATGCAGATTTCACTTCCAGTTTCTTTCCATTTACAATTCCCTC